GGGCCCGACTTACCAGTGTCGGGCCAGTTAGCCTCCCCTAGCCCATTAGTGGAGGATTCGGGGCTAGGACAGAGTTAGCTAGGGGTGTATCCCGAGTTATACGGGTGAGGGGGCCGATACCCCCTCGAGTGTGTATATGCCCACTGTCGTATTGTGAAATAAATATACGTGTGCCTCAACCTCGGCGTCAAGCGTCTTCACCGGTACTTCAATCACATAGAGCACATGATGAGTTACCGTTGAGCACATAGGCTTTCGCGACCAATATAATTCATAATAAAGGTTTTTGGGTTAGATCGCGTAAGTATAAATGTGTCAAAACCCTCCACCACCCGACACAGCCAATTAGTAAGGGATTTGTCACGTAAACAAAACGCCCAATAGTTACTACTTCAGCCCACTGGTGTGTTGGAGAGTAAATCCACAAATTTACAATTTAAATATTCAAATATTTAAATGTGTCGAGTGGTGGAGGGTTTTGACACATTTACACTTACGCGATCTAACCCAAAAACCTTTATTATGAATGATGAGTTACAGTTGGTGAGCGTTGTACATGTAGCCCCACCTCTGTGCCCGAGCACTAACATGCCAATTCCTTCAGAGCAAGTTGACCTTTTGGTGTACCTTCTGTGGGTTAAGGCAGCCAATGACAATGAAAATCAAATATTTAATTGGAAGTAATTAATGCAGGTCATTGGAACTCTAAACACAGATGTATGCACACGAATGCTTACAAGCAATTGCAAAACGCAAACACCCACCCGTGCACACACATGGCGATATGCCAAAATTGGTTGTCGATATTACATTTTCTTTGCGGGCAATGTTGTTTGCTTTGCGTGACCTGCATTTGATGTCTAAATCGATTATGTAAATCCTGGTGTGCTAATGTAATGTAGATCTGCAGATTTAACTTCATGCTTCATTAAGCGTGGATTTGACTCAAATGCAGGGTACCATTTAACTTTTTAAAAGGCGAGTCCCTGGCTCAGGTGCAAAGCTCTGCAGTGCATAGGCAATTTCTGGTTTCATATCTTTCGGGCGATACACTTCATTTTCCATCCTCAATGCCAATTTTTTTTCTCTTCCCAAAGGTCAACCGTGACGTTTAAAACTTTTAATAATAACTCAAACGTGTCTTGTGTGTGTGTGTGTACCTCGGTAAAATTGCAACAAAAAAGGTCTCGTTTATTTATAGTTGATAGATTTACATGCAGATGACAAACTGTCGCTGTACCCAACAGCGCCGATGTAGCTCTGCTGAAAGTTGGCTTTGGAATGATACATGAAAGCTTCTCTTGTGATTGTAAATCATTAACTGCGGCTTGTACTTTGAATACATTTAAGCTTTTAAACAGTTTCAAAAAAAAGAGAGCAAGAATTCTAAATTGTGATTTTAAAGTTGTATTTATAACATGTTTTTGCATGTTGATTCATCGCATATGAGTGTATGAATCTATCAATTTCACGTCACATATATGGAATGTACAATTTTCACAATATTTAAGCACATTCTATTTGAGTTCAACATAAACTGCAACATGCAATCTGTTCGGCAAAAACAGAGCACACTTGTCAACAACATCTTCCTTCTTAATTATTAATATCGGATTGTATCATCATTACCAACAAAATCCATGCCCTAATCACTGTTGGATCAAGACCTCCACCACTCCCCTGCGCATGAGTGGAACGCATCGCTCCTTCTCTCTGTCAAGGTGGCAAAATGTTATCTACTTCACCTGGTGTACAGGAACCGTGGGTTCGATCCCAACCCTGACAATGCCTATATATTTAGAGTTGGCATTTTCTCTCCCCCCGTGGTCACGTGGATTTTTCTCTGGGTCCTCCGGTTTTTCCCTCCACATTTAGAATCATGCATTGACAGTTTTTGGCTGCTATACATTTCCACGTGATAAGCCACTTCGTTGAGATATCATTTGATGCCAGGTCACTTCTAAAAAAGAGCTATATAGCTCAGTATGCCTTACCTGTTAAAATCAAACTTTTTGGGGGTTTTTCTCCTTTGGCTGCCATTCTTATGAGTGTTGTTCATTGGCCATCACCCCTCTTAGCAATGTGTCCTCCCCATTGAATAATTTAATCCTGAGGTCTGATGGTGAGCAGAAGCATAACAGTCATGGTCACTGTGTGCCGTCCAACTGCACATGCTTATGCAAAGGGCACCGACAACTTAGACTGGGAGATCATGGCGATGGTGGAAGCACATTTGAAGCCAGCACCTTCAGAAATCTGCAGTTTTCAAAATTGTTCAATGTCATGGTGACAGCATTGTGCACTATATTGCTAAAGTACGCCACCTGTCAGAGCACTGTAACATTCACGACACCCTTCAAATCATTCTGCTGGACCGTCTTGCATGAGGATTGAAGGATGCAGTGCTGCAGTGCCATCTCCTTTCTGAGCCAGAGTTGACATTTGAAGCAGCCCGGGATGATGGTGATAGCTGCAGAAAGTGTTGGCATAGGGTCCAATGAATGGTGTTCAACAGCTGTCTTCATCTGCTCGCTGGGGGCCGATGGACTCCACCTGGGAACAGGGTGAAGGACAGCAGAGAAATGGATAAAAGCCCCTTTTATCACTGTGAAGCAGACTACATTCTGGATCCATACCACTTCATTATGGAAGTATGCCATATCTGCATAAAGATGAGAAGTAATTAATGGGAGTGGAAGGAATGTGGTGACACGCTTGCTAAAGGGACATGGAACACCACCATCAAAGGTCCCAAAGAGGCACATGCGCTGTGGCAGACGATTCAGCAGGCATTGGGCACGCGTCCTGGCTGATCGTCATCAGTGACACAGACGTGGGCCAGTTGCTGTGTCAGTTCCACTCAAATATACGTATCTCGACATGGAAATTGATTCAGGCTCAGTATTTTAATCAACAGTGACTAGATGTGCAGACGTGTGTTTTGGACACAACGTAAATAAGCCACATTTTCAGCCGCTGGACTTTCAAGCTGCAAGCATTGGTCACATGAAGTTCTCGACATCTTTGGGCAAATTGAAATAGAGGCAAAATTCAGGGGATGATACACAAGCATGCCTCCCAAGCTTGTCATGGTGGGAAAAGGAGCAAGCCACCTGCATTGTAATTTAGTTCAAGCATTCAATATCAGCATCTCTGGTATTCCGTTCCTGAATACAGATGCCCTGGATGACCCGCTGAAACAACATGCTGTCGTCTCTGAAGAACTAGGTACCTTTTGCGGTCCAGCCATGAAGATTGAGATAGAACCAAATATAGCATGACTCTTCTTGAATAGTGGGACATTTATAGCCAAAGGTTGATCGAGCTCTGGATGGCCACAGCACACACCAGATGCAGCATTCATCACACATACATACAAACTACTGTATCAATCAGAATCTTAAAAGATAAATATCAACTACCAATCACGAATCTCAATGTGATCCACCAATAATTACCTGCAAAACACTGGATTATGGATCTGCAGCACAGCTTCGTACAGGAGAACAGTTGGTAATAGGGTTTTCCCCTTTTATCTGGCAACAAAACAGGTGTTATAGTTTTTAAACACCAAACTGATTTTTTTTACAAGGAATCATGTCTACATTAACCACAGTGTTTGTGGTCAGGAGGTCCCATGATGTAGATGCTCACCGCAAGCTCTCGTTACTCTGATAGTGCATTGTTTTTGGGCTGTACGCCTTTTGGTGTCCTCTGGTCTAACACCGTTTGAGACGAGGCTCAAAAGAAAGCTGTCTCTGGTGTGGACCAATCAGTTTCAACAACAATGCATATATTATCAGAGTATGTGTTTTTGTTTGCGTTATGACCACAAGCATTGTGGTTAATGTAAACATGATTCCTTGTAAAAGGTTTCAGTTTGGTGTTTTAACATCTTAACACCTGTTTTGTTGCCAGATAAAAGGGGAAAACCTGTTGTCATATTTTGGTACTGGCAAAGGAGGTCCCATGAAGGAAAACAGTTATAACTGGCCATCAATTCGAATAATAAATAGTACGAAAATAATCGATTCACAAATTAAATAATCACTCCGACATCCTTTATCAAACCTGCTATTAGACATACGGAAAATGTATTATTTATAATTTCAAATCATCATTTGCTAATTTTTTCCATGACTAGATTTAGAAAAAAATCATCTTTTTCACCAATCAGGATATTATTCATGTGATATTGATCACGTGACAAGTCAGAGATCACCCTGGTCAGGCCAATTTTCCAAACCAACTTTGATGTTTGCTGAAAAAAACTGCGTCGATTGGATTTGCAAGTAAACCGAAAGTACACCTCTTATGATCGCTCAAAAATGGCTGTAATCATTGTGTGGGCACTTTCATATTTAATTATGATTTTTAAAAATGCTTATGAGTACTTGTTGATGTGTGTTCTTTATGCGTATTTTAATTGCTATATAGGTACAAAGAGTTACCATTGACATGTTGATTATGCTCCAAATATTGTGGAAACGTGGAAATTATCATAATAGATGGCCTTGATTTGGTTTGGGAAAAAAAAGGAATTGTAATTATCATTCAATATATGGGGTACATTATACACGTGGAAAACTCCATTCAGTGAGATCGGGGTGAGTCTTGCAGAGAAGAAGCTTAGTATGCTATCTGTGCCACAGTGGCAAAGAAAAAAACAATGTAAGCATGCTACCAGTTGTCACAGCTCAGAGTGTGTCCAGTGATCGAGAGTCAAGCCTTTACCAAAAAAGGTTAATTGGTTTGGAGAATACTGCTCCCAGATCCCACCGTCCTTTTGATTTTAAACCATTTGTATGCAGCCCACCTAGACTATGTTCTGTGGAAGTTGACTGGATTTCAAATGAGGGGAATCGGATTTGGGAAATCCGCCTAACAGCATTCTGTCTTTCATTTTTAAGCTCCTGTGCTCTGAGTTTCCATGTTAGCCTTGTATAAACACTGACTGCCCTGTTATTGTTGCTTGCACTTTCCATTCTTTATCATTCCAGGCTCGGAGCAATAGTTCAGTTTTCCTGCAAGGAAGGTTACGTGCTTCAGGGCTCCAGCAGCATCCTGTGCCAGAAGGTCAATGATGTTTTTGCTGCATGGAGTGATAGCAGACCACTGTGCAAGGGTAAGACTTTTAATTACAGCACAATCCATTCTCCTGACACCCAAAATGTTTGCTTGGCCTCCGTGTCACATTCTGCCTCCGCAGTTACCGGCAAGTAATTTAAGAACAGATGTTTCTTTTTCCCTTTTTCCTATTGCCCTAAAGTAAATCCGTCCTGTGTTTGCATTTGCACCAAGAAAGTCTGTAAAGCAAACCAATGCAAACGTGGAAAGTGAGCTTGAATTTTCAGGCTTCAATACACATATTTACACGCTTTTTCAAAATTATTTCACAAAGCAGCTAACGATATACACACAGTATTAGTGCTTTCCCAATCAAGCAAGTGTGGGGAAGTGGTCATCTGCTGCTCATAGCCCTAAGCCAGTCGTGGAAATTCAACATTCCTATTTATTTACTTACTTTAAACAGTTGCAGTGCGCAGGGTCCAAATGCCCAAAACGTCAAACGCCTAGCAACAAATGGCACTATCATAGTTGTAATAGCTACGTGTGAACACATTTCTTGATTTGAGCAAGGTTGAAATAGCTTTGGGGAAAATAGACGATGGGAGGGAATTCTAAAGCGGAGCAGTGCGAGGTAGAGAGAGAGAGTAGTGCTGTGACATGCAGTGTGGTGGTTGGGCACAGTGTGGTTGAGACGGACAGCCAGTCCGGCAGACCCGATTCCTCAAACATGAGTCGGGGAATCAATGAGCGAAGTTCACGGGAACAGTAACCATGGCAGTAGCAATAGAAGATCGATGGTCGCAACTCATTGCATGCAAAGTGTTTGCCATAGATGAACTACAAAGTGTTTGCCATAGATGATCTACAAAGTGTTTGCCATAGATGAACTACAAAGTGTTTGCCATAGATGAACTACAAAGTGTTTGCCATAGATGAACTACAAAGTGTTTGCCATAGATGAACTACAAAGTGTTTGCCATAGATGAACTACAAAGTGTTTGCCATAGATGAACTACAAAGTGTTTGCCATAGATGAACTACAAAGTGTTTGCCATAGATGAACTACAAAGTGTTTGCCATAGATGAACTACAAAGTGTTTGCCATAGATGAACTACAAAGTGTTTGCCATAGATGAACTACAAAGTGTTTGCCATAGATGAACTACAATTACTTGCTGATCTCGTCAAGGAGCATAAACCACAACGCGAACTCCAGTCATTCTCGCAGCGGGTTTTTGGCTAGACATGAAATGAAAATGCTCTTCCTTTTGCACTTTGAAATCTAGATTGAACACTCATGGCTATAGAACTGCCTTTTGTCTTTCGTTTGTTGTCCTTTCCCCGCACCTCCGATTCGCATGGTTGGCTATGTATGGTGCGAAAGAAGTTCAACATACATACATAGAAGAAGGTGACTCACAATCTGTGAGTGAGTGAGGAAATTAGTGCAATATATTGAATTCCACCTAGTATAGTGAGGTGGGAACTGGATGCTCCTCTCCAAATATGTGACACCAGTTTGCCAACTTTGGCTGGATTTGTGCTCTATATAAGAGTAGTATTTTTTCAGAATTAAAGGGAGAATTGGGAACAAATTGTAGTCTCCTGATGGAAAGTCACACTGTCTTACCCCTTAGGCACCCAACCATAGTTTACAAGTTTAAGATCATCATAAAATACCTATGCATATGCATAGTTACGTGCAGAATACTTAAGCTATTTATTTTGGAATTAAGGTATTGGTTTTTGGTATATACTGTCTTTAATTAATAATGCCCTAGCCAATTATGTTTTGATGAATTATATTTTCATAATTTGGTATTATTAAGCAATCGTGCCTCAATTCGACACGCAGCTTGTTTTTTTTTAAGAGATGATTTGATGACACATTAATTATTCAAGTAAAACTACTCGATGACTTTCATGAGTTAAAATAAAAGACAGAATAAACAAAAATACCCTCCATACACAACCTGTATATAGCCAGCACAGCGCACGAGATGGTATAGTGTTCAGCGCTATGCCCAGTCACCGTTTCATCTCATGTGCTTATTATCACACACTGCACTTGGTACTAATTCAAGGCTGAGTCGATCTCTGAGAGGCACAGGACCAGCTGTGGCCAGGATTATCGGGCTAACCACATCACCACTACGAACCACTGCACCACTACTTCTCACACAAACACACTTGCACAAGACCCAGACCATCTTAAAAACTGCCTTCAGGCCAGATGTGGCTTCTCTGTTCTCTCGCCTTAATCGCTTAGGAACCTCTCCATCATCGTGACACTGCTATGTACAATTAGCCCATTAATTTGTTCCAGTCAATTAAACAGCCAAAAATGCGACCTATTCAAGATTCAAGGTCACATACTAGTCTAAAATAGTTAATGAGACATCAAACAACTCCCTAAAAAAAATCAAGCTTCATGAACAAAAAAAGATATAGAATTGTACTGAATGATATTGTACAATCCCTGGATAGTGCAGAAATATCACTCAAGTGCAAAGAGATACAAAAAGAGGAAATATATATGAATGCTAAACCTTAATTTCCATATCACACAGATGACCTATGCATTTAACATTCAGTTATTTTCCATACATGGTATGAGGGTCTTAACATCCACTTAATGATAGACAGTGAGTTTAGGAGGAGTATCTTTACCAGAGACAGGATTACACACATGTGCAGGGATTCATCTTCTTGGTTCTTTCGGTAAAGTCACGTAGAAGGGAAGTAATAAAATAATAATAATAAAAGACCTGGTCTTCACCTGAGGACGGGAGACAGCTGTCTCCCCGACAGACCTGGTCTTCACCTGAGGACGGCTGCTTGCGTTGTGGCCGAAACGTCGTGAGAATTATTTTATGATGTTTTATTTTTATTATTTTATTTCTTCCCTTCTACGTGACTTTACCGAAAGAACCAAGAAGATCTGGGTTTTCAATTACAATGTTATGCGCTACAATTGTGTGTTAACGACTATATATTGTGCTTATCTGGTTGTTTGAAAAGCATGCATCAATATAATGTTATATGCAGAACTGCCTCCATTATTACTATAAATACAACATGTAATTTATGGTTAAAAGATAACATAATCTTTGTACTTTTTTGACAGAAGTTATTGTGTGGGAATGTTAACTGAAACAACGTTCCAAATAAAACATCCACTTACTTAATAGAATGCAAGAGAACTCGAAACAATCATTTTAAAATGTCAGATTGAACATAATACCTCTGGCTCATATACGGAATGTGATTACAGTTTACTCTTCTGCTGCCTGAGATGGCAAAGCTATCAAATGTAATGCTCCAGAAAAGGCAATTTTGAATAGCCTTGTTTAATATAGTAACGGTGTTATTATACAAGACAAGAATCAAAAAGCAGTACAAACATTGCGCAAGACAATTAGTATGTAGTTGTTATAAATGTGCTATGTTCCGTATTGTGTAAGCTACGCCAAAAGGACCACATATTTTATTTATTGCACTCAATGTAAATGTTTTAAATAAAAAGTCTGGTTAATCAAATTAATGCCGCATTAACTTGCAACTCATTAACTTATGTGTTAATGTTATTGCAGTATTAATCTGTAAAACTATATCATACTAATTTAAACAATATTAACAACTATGGCTTAAAGTTTTGAACAGTGTATTGCCATGTGTTGACAAAAAGTTGACTTATTGACTCTTAAAAGAAATCGTATAAAATAATAAATTAAAAGCCATTCTTGTAAAACTTCAAATGACCTGCTATGTTATGTACTGCAGTAAAAAAGAGTTACGGGAAAGTACAAACACGACCACAGACAGTTGTTAAGGAAATCAAAAAGAGGAAGAAGAAAATCAATACCTGAGCTCTAATCTGAAGCAGACTCCATTATCACTCTAACCTTTAGTTCCAACAGTGATGGAGAAAAGGTTGCATCCACTGGACATTGCATTAGAGATGGTGTGGAGCAATTACAATCTTGTTCGCCATTGTCTCTTGTGATTTATTTCCGACTCACATTGAATAACTTCATGACAATTCAGACTGCTGAAATGAGAGTGCGGAAGGACAGTGTCTTTTCTTCTACACGATGTTTACTGATCGCAAACTATCGTAGGATGAGTTGGACCATGTGAGCAGTGCGTGATTTGAAACCACGGGGGGGAAGGGCGGGGGGTTCTAACATTATGATATCTTTCATTAAATAACATTGAAGTCGTGACATAAAAAACCATGGCAACTTTTTCACTGGGACAACTGAGGTTTAAATAAACGGGACTCCAATTCACTTTCATACGTAGCCAATTTACATCACCAATGCAATATTTGTTCTCAAATCACTGGCATATTCACATTGGAGTGTACTGCGAGTGCACTGAATTACGTTCATATCAGTTTCACTTTTCAACTGCATAGGCAGGGGTTAATGCATATATAAATAAATAAAATTCAAATAATAGCTGAATATTGCATATGCTCTGTATTATAATCGTATATAATCGTACCGTTTTGTATTGTTCACTTGCAGTGGCGGCTCCTGCAAAATCTCTCAGGGGGGTCAAATGTCTGGATGATTGATAAGGATAAGGTCCACCCATGCAATGGATAAATTAACAGCTTAAGCATGTAAAGGCAACTTCACTTCTTTAATATTAATGAAAAATAAAGTGACTCTTACAATACATCTTGTTTGTTTCTATACTCACTATTAAAACAAACCACTCAAGTTTCTTTTATTAAAGATTCCACTAGGTGGCGACAAATTATATTGTTGGATGAAACGTGCTTACGTATGATGACGTAAGCACGTATGATGACGTAAGCACGTTAGGGCGAGCCCTCCCGGAAGCCATAGAGAATGCATTGCAGCGCCCCCGTTCGAAAAAAACATCTTTGAATGTAAGTCTATGGGACCACTCGGGGCGATTCTCAGCTGGAGGGAAATCGCCCAAAAAGAGGCGGTACTCCACAGAACGTAGCATGACGCTGATTGGACTATATCCAGAGGCACAGTGACGGCTAGCGTGACTCTGTGGTTGAATGACATTGGTGGTGCGTCGCCCAATCGCCCTAATGAAGAAACCGCCCCTGTTCACTTGTATTCAAAACCATTGTCACAAAAATTGGTTGATTCTCCTCTGGACATAAAAACAATCCACTCCCTTCTATTAGTTGTATTCAACCACTGATGTTATTTATTCAAACTGTGTACACATGTGCATCGTTCGTTCTTTTTACCCTGTAAACATCAATACCGGTCAAGCTCATATACTCTGAATGCACATTCAAGGCAACATCTTAACACACCTTTACGACAACCCCTGGGAAAGGCGAAGTGAAAATATGATGCATAACTGTGGCCTATGGTGTCTCCTCTGTGTGCAGCTAAGACCTGCGGATCGCACTTGGAAGGCCCCAGCGGTGTCATCACCTCGCCAAACTTTCCACTGAAGTATGACAACAATGCCCAGTGCATGTGGACCATTACGGCTGTTAACCCTGGCAAGGTGAGTCATACTCCGAGCTCACAGAAAACGAGAAGAGACGCCTTGGGTTTTTTTACTGCACTTTCAGATATTTAACTTTCATGAATATTTGAACAACAACTCAAAACGTTCGTCAATTATTCTATCCTAAATATATTAATATATAAATAACGTGACATTTTCAGCAATGGCTCAGCATCTATCTGCGATGAAAATGAGCCATTGCCCGAAAGATCCATAATAATTTTTTCCCACAAATTTACGTCAGTGTTATTGATGAATGTGCTGAGTTTTTGTTATTTATGCTCGTGCACGACTGCCCGTGCAATGTCACAAAAAGACATGTTTAATTTAGATTCACACATTTTGGTTGGCATGCTATTAATATGACAGATAATGGAAATATTTACCGAATAAATGTATGCATTTTACACCTCCCTTTCATAAAAAAGATGCTCTCTGTTTTTTTAATTAAGTGTCTGTATTGACACGGTTTAGATAAAATATTTCCAACTATTGGCTCTATGAAGCCTCCAGGCAAAACATAAAACCAAAGGTTTCATACAGAAATCTAAAGTGGGATCAGCAGGTAATGTTTATTGGGCCTGAACTTTTTACGAGGGTTGTTTTTATTTTAACTCCTCCACAGCAACTCGGGCGTACTAATGTTCGACATCATACGCAATAACTGGTAGTGGTCAAATAAATCATAAAGAAAGAGATGATTTGAAAAAAGGGGAGGAAAATATTGCCTATTCCTGTGCACTCCATTTGAAATATCACATACAATGCAAACATTCCACTTATTTGAATGTAATGATTTTAATGGTATCAGGCTGTATGGCTGAATAATGGCATTTATCTTTACAAAGAATACTGTGGTCTAAGAAGCAAATATTAATCCAATTATTATTATGTAACACATTATAAAGGAATGATAAACATCGTATAATGCTGCTGCTTCAGTGCAAACTTAATCCATACTCAAACAATATAATATCAGCTGCAAAAAACAAGTATCAGAGTCGTCCTTGAATTTTTTTTCACTTGAAGTGAAGAAAAGTAATATCTGTAATACGCCAGTGTGGTGAGCTACCTTTCAGTGTCTTGAATAATGTTACAGGATCACTTCCCAAGGTGTCAGCATTGCTGCATTGAGTTCACATTGCACATATCAACTGTGCAACATCTGTTTAATTAATCCCATCAATTCTCAAAAGCCTTGAGGTCTGGCTTTGTCGTGCAAATAAAAAAGGGGGACTCATTTGTTTGTCTTATTTTTCTTCTTCCGACTTTCTGTTTCAATGTCATATGCTATTGTTGTTCTCAAGTGTGCACTTGTGTTCATCACCGGAGCACATACTTTACTGGGAATGCAAGTAAAACATACAAATTATTTTATTGTATATATATTTTTTAAAGATAGCAACACTGAATGTTAATGATCCACGGTTGTGGATCGTTGAAGATTTAATTTTAATTCTAAAACTTTCAGACACTACAACTTTGTAATGCATGACGCTAGAGTTCTATGAATTTCATAACTATATTTTGCTACAAATCATTACTACACTATACTTTTTGAAGAAATATCGGTGTGCTGGGTGTTTTTTTTCTTACAAAAAAGCAAGCCGTAGTTTTTTTTGTGTTTTGATCTCATGACTTTTTGAAAAATTGCAAAATCTACCATTTAACTAAAATGTGGTAATGGCAAACGTGCAGGGCTGTCTCTTCTTCCTCAAGTCACTCCTCTTGTAAGGGCGTCAACGAGAGGTAGATAACCCCAAGAAAGAGTATTTGACCAATTATTTTACACTGGCCAAACGTCTTGGTGGAGATGGGAGGATCCACGCTTTATCCCAGCACACGTGACCTGGAAATTGACTAACTTTAATTAAATGAATGTGAACAGTTGGGAGATTATTATCTCTCCAAAAAATGGGGACCAGTATAACATCCTTTAATAACTTAGCGCTAGATGTGCCTACATGCATCTTGTAAGTTGGGTGATGCTATTGTTATTGCTTTAAAATATGTATTGTTTGTACAGTAATATTTTATTTCCATCTACTAGATGATATAATCGTCCTGTTTTACCAATTCGACTTTAACAATGTTCTTTATTTAATCATGTGCAGGCCCATTAAGATTGATTATTTCTTAATGTTCTTATTTAACTACGTCAGAGTTCATTGATATTCATTATTTCTTAATCCACCCCCATGATTTCTTAAGTTACTTTATTTATCTGCATGAGAGCCCATTTAGACTTATTATTTATACATACCATTTATTTAGTCATGTGCGTTCATTGAGATTAATTATTTCTAAATGTACTTTATTTCACCATCTGAGAAAACATTGATATTATCTAGGAATATACTTGTATTTATCACGTGAGAGACGAAAAAAAATCGTAAATCTCTTGTTTAACCATAACACCGATTCACTAAATTGTATTCCTTAATGTGATTTTAATAGGCAGAGCTCTGTTATGATTCATGCTTGATGGCCTTTCACCACGGGGGAGAGTCCACTAGTTGAAAAGGTAAACAAGGTAAAAGTGCAGGCCTTCATTTTCTTACTCGTGCCACTGCTGGCAGAAGGGCCTCCGTTAACGGGCAGCTCTAGAAAACCCCCCGAGTGAGTCTTTGGCCTACTCTTCTGGAAGAGGTGGGAGTACCCTCACTTTACCCCGCCATACACGAATCGAATCAGGTTAAAATGTATCATCATTTATTATCTCCTATATTCTGTCATTAATTCAAGGAGTGTCACCACAATAATATTAGTTCATTTCTTGCTTAATATCCTCCAATTAATTCAGTGAATGGTAATTGAAAATTTTGTCTCGAGATATATTACATATAGTTGCTTCATTCATTAACATTATTCATAATCATTCTTAGAAGCCTATACACCAAGTAGGTTGCTAACCTGTATGTGCAGTTGGTTATGTCCAAGTGTGAGTTTTCTCCGATCAACATGTAACCTGTTAGCTTTTGTATCTCGTATTTGGGGCTCAACCCTTGAATATTTTTGGACGTCAATATCATTGCCCATGACAAAGCTAAAGCATTTGATTTTGTCTGGCATCCCAGACTAAGCACCAGGCAGAGATGACCTTTCATATGAACTGCTGAGAGAGAAAGGCATTTGTGTGCAGGCTGCCCTGTATGACATCATTGTCTGATCCAAAGGATGAATTCCACATGATTGGAAAGATTGGAAAGATGCCCTGGTCGTCCCCCTCTTTCCGAAGTTGTTACACTGATTTAACTATCGGCGAATCTCCCTTCTCAGTGTGCCGGGGAAAGATCTGGCAAGGATTATTCAACATCGCCATGTCAGGCATGCTGAGGAGAGGCTTACCGAGCCTCAATGTGTTTTCAGATCAGGGTGGACCTTCACAGATGCCATCGTCTCTGTGTCGTCTGCTACAGTAGAGGTGTATGGAATTTCAACACCACTTAAATCTTTGCGTTATTGACATGATTACAGCCTAAGATACGATCAATAGGCCAGGACTCTGGTTATTCTTCGTGTCTTCGTGGTTCCTCACCCTCTGCTCACAATCATTAAGGACCTTCACGTAGGTGGGCAGGCCTGGGTAAAACTGCGGGGCCAGGATTCAGATATATTTTCTGTTTCTTTGGGGTGCCACAGGGATGTCCTCTGGCCCATACACTATTTCACATCTTCTTTGACCACGTAGTTTGAGAAGCTTTGCATGGCTGTACCGAAGGAATTTATATCTGGTACACATAAAATGGGAGGGTGTAAGATGCCTAGGTGTGGTCAAGGGATAGCTACCTATTGGTCAACCATATTATGTATGCGGATGATCTGGTAATTACTGCTCACTGAGAAGGAGTTGGAGATGTTACTGCTACAGCTGGAGCATGCTACCAAGAGATGATTCTAGATTTGAAGCTTTCGTGACTGCAAGGATTCATATTCTTAGGTTTTTTCGATGAATGGAACTTTATGGAAAAAACCTAAGAATACAAGAGATGATTCTTTACCATCAGCCCCACGAAAATAAAGCACCTGCCTGGGTATGTTGTATCATCGAATTCTCCATCCCATCCACTTCCCATGAGAGATGAGGCAGTTGTGGAGAGAGTTAAGACGTTTCTGTACCTGGGCAGTGTGCTTATGACCAACTCCAGTTTGGCAGTGAAGGTCTCACTCCGATTCAGTCGAGCAGCATTATCTTTTAATCGGCTGCTGTAATGCTCCGTGGAAACTAACTGGTATATTGCTTGCGGAATGCAGAGCATTCAGGCTGGCCTGCCTATGATCCATTCTGGGTTAGACCTTACTGAATTGTGTGAGCTCACAAATTCTTAAAAGATCTGGACATATACCCATGAGTGAGTTTCTTCAGCAGGTGAGATTGTATGCCCAAGCAGCTTCTTTTTGACTGGATAGAGGGGGCCAAATAGGTGCAGCATGATCTAGATAAGAGATGTACTGCTGTGGTCCAGATGGATGTGCAGCTGATTGGACTTGCCGATGACTGGAACCAGCGATGTTAAGATTGGCCTCAGTGGAGAAGGCTCATGAAGGATACTACTGGGAATTTGGTGGGAATAGAGGGCAAGAAGAGTGGTACTCATGACAACAAACGGACCGGGTAGCTAAAATGCAGCAAATTGACACAGTAGGGAGCTCAGGTGGCACATCTGCCGGTCATCCCAGTCAGTCAACCCATGGCACCTGAATTTGTCCCATGACCTGCCAGCGACTCTTGAGCAGTTCATGTGGCTTCAATGTGCAACTTAGCCTAGCACACGTGCCATGGTAACATCACTACCACTTAGTGGAGAATGGCAGTTTTTGTTACACTACTATTTTGCATCTACTCTCATATGTAAGCTCGGACTTTTTGCTTGCTAAGATATAGCACCGGGCCCAGGACTTTAAAGTCACACTTGAATATGTTGGCATGTTCCTGTGTACAATTATTACGAGTGTTCATCTCTACCTACAATTATTTTGCAACTTTTTAATCCTGG